CCGGCCGCCGTGGGGATGAGGCCGGGCCGGGCCCCTCGGGTGCGGGGCTGCCCCGGCCGCCCTGAGCCGGGAGTGCGCTGGGGACAGGGCGAGGAGCTGGGGAAAAGAGGTGGGGATGGCGTTCGGAACTGCAGCTCTAGGGCCGGGAAAGGCTTGTTCAAGTTCGGGGAGGCTGTGCCAACGCTGCCCCTTCCGAGCCAGTCACCTTCAGCAAGAGCTGGTACCCAGACGTGGCCGGGATTGGGGATGTACCCCACTTCCCGCGGCCACCAGTGCACCCAGCAAACACCCGAGGGCTGGAAAAGCCTTTGGGAAGGCAGCAGGGCGAGGATCCCCGCGGTACCCGGAGGGGCAGCGGGGCGCTGGCAGCGGCGAGGGAGAACCCCCTGGCCGGGCCGAGCCAGCCGTGCCGGGGGAGCGGGCAGGGATGGCAAAGAGCCTCTAGCAATTTTAGTGACGGAAATCTCCGAATCGATGGGCAGTTTGCTGGGTTTTGCTCTGGCATTTTTAACCCTTCCTGCGTCTGGTTTGACCTCTTGTCACTTCCCGAGATGGAAGTATTAAAGTGGAGTAAATACTTGTATTGATTAGCAGAGCAGATACAAACTTAATTAAACTCATTTTGTGCAATGTACAAACTAGTTAACGGTCATTTAATTTATTTGGGTTTATATTACGCTCCAATTAACGGGTCTCCATCGGAGAACAGGGTAATTATCCGATATTTAAGGCTATTTGACTTCTGCTGACGATTCTGTCATTATGAAGCCTGAAAGCAAATCGCGTTTTCCTGAGAACCGGCTCCTCCTCATCCTGGCCGGGCTCCTTCGGGGGAGCGAGAGGTGAATCCTCTCCACGGGACGGGGCTGGGGGAGGCCCCGCGGACAGGTCGGGGGCAGAGGCCCGTGAGTACCGTCCTTTTTCGCCGGTGCTTTCAGACACTCCTAAACTTCCCTCCTCTCACTTCTGCAAGGGGGCTGTAGCTCCGGGAACTCCTAATCAAGGACTCCTTTAACTTGGTTAACCGAGATAAGCGAATAGAAAATGAACCGCTGCTCTGTCACCCTCATCCCGTCCGCACTTGAGTTGTTTATAATCCCCCCAAAACCTGAACACTCCTCAAATTTGCTCCTCACGCCCGACCCCCTGACTCCCGCATGTAAAATCAGACGTGGTTTTAAAAGCGTGTTTTGTTCAACACGCTGATTTCAGATATGGCTGTTTCAATAGGAGAAATTAGGGCAGAGTTCTGTTGTCCTTTTCACCCCGAAAATATCCCTTAATAACTCAGGGTTCATTAAGAACCCTTTCCAACTTTCTGTTCCGGTCGGAGCATGGAAAACGCGAGCGATCGCGGCCGAACAGAAAAGAACCGGGTCACTTTTCTCCCAGCCCGACCCACTGAGTGCAGACAAGTGTCCTGCAACCTGTAGGACCTGCTAGAAATTGCGGGACGGAATTTTTTATTGCAGCAACGATTTATAAAAAGTGCGTGTAGCTGCTCCTGGGGGGCAGGCTCGGGGGCAGCCCCAGCAGCACACACGGACCGGAGCGGGGACCTGCAGCTCTTTCCGAGTTTCATTTTCCAGCCGAGGATTCCCATCCGTTGCTCAACTAAAATTTTTTAAGACAAAAGAAATGCACCGCGAATAGAATTGGCGACGGAGATGAACGCCGGATTTGTTATTTTGTTTCTGGAACGTGTTAAATTGTGATTTAATGGGGAGTTTGAACTGTTGTTTTGAACATTAAAATAGTTTTACGAGCGGCAAGTGACGAGCGCAGTTTTTACTCTCCTTTGGCCAGAAAGCCTTTGCATTTTCCGGTGGGGTTGGTACTTTTCAGGACAGAACTACTTTCCAGAACGCTTCTCCTACATTAAGACACCGCTTGAACTAATACTAATTACTATAGGGAAAGAAAAGAATTAAATTTCGTGATTTTCTAGCAGTCCCAGATCTATTCCTGGCCACTGCCATAAGATTAAGGCGATGTGACCGCAGGAGTCCCTGTGTGCAGTGTCCCTGTGGCAGCGGGCGAAGCGCACCGCGGCGTGATGCCTCCAAACATATTTATTTCGAGAGAAGAGATGCAGTTGCATTTCTCTTCTTGTCTGGAGATAAAAGTGTGAGATTAGCGATAGGTTAACCTCGTCAGTCTTTTTGATCGCCCAGATCTGTTTAATATGACGAAAGTCAGATGAGTTTAGAGGAATAATTACTCCAGTTCCGCACTGCTTTTAACAATATCTTTTGAATTCTATTAGTGCCCCATTGCTGTTTTTGCTTTACAGATGAAAAATGCGTCATGGCTCGGGCTGGAGCAGATTCCAGACCTCTTTCACTGCCTAATTTTACTTGACAGGAGTCTCTCTATGGCGAGGTTGGAAACCTCCGAGTCCTCCTCTCTGGCCCCAGACACAGAGAAATTATTTCTCCTAAGCCTAGAAGTTTATTTCCTGCAGCTCGCTGCCTCTTCTTTCCCCTCTCTGGACATGGAATAGCTATAGATATTTTCCACAACCACCGCTTTTCCCGGAAACCCTTCGCGGTCCCCAGAGTGGCGGTGTTTAGAGGTGAGAAAGTTGGGATATTCGGACCCAGAAAGAAAAAGCAATCTAGAGCTTGGGTCGAATGCAATTCCCGATCAATAGCGAGCCCTAATAAGTGTAATAGGTTTTAATCGAGTAATTATCCGAATTTTGACCCTATAATTTAGATGTTAGGGAAGAGTTTGCAAGGTGCTTGAAAGAGATATGCACAATTCGATAATAGGATATCGATCCAAGCAGTCCTACATGCCACTCTGGGGCGATTTTCCCCATTATCCAGCCTCTTTACGCTGCTAAGCACATTTTACCTTAAATGTAATCGAAGGAATTTAATTGTTTTTCCAGAGATAACCAGCATTTTGTCACAATTAGTCTGATTTGTCCTAAAAAAGCCAAGGGGAGAGAGAAAATTGAATCTGTCGCCCAGAGCAACGGGCGGCGGCGGCGGGGGGAGGATGGAGAGGGGTCCGAGGCTGGGGAGAGAGACACAAAGTCATAAACGCCTGGGGGGGCCCAGGAGAGGTGGGGGTATCGAGGGAGGGTTTTCGCACCCTCGGGAACGGGACTCCGGCCCTCCGAAGCTGGAGGAGCCGCTTCCAAGTTTACCTGAGCCGGAGCTCACAGGCAGCGCTGGCTGTCCCTGAGAGGAGGAGGAGGAGGAGGAGGAGGAGGATGGCGGGGTTCCTGCCCACCCCAGCCAGGCCGGCATCCCTGGGGCTGATCCTGCAGCTCCCGGGGGTGCACGACACGAACAGCTCCGGGTGTCCCGCCGGGCTCCTCGGCCACTCGGGGAGCGGAGCCCGGCCAGTCCCGGGAGGATGCGCCCGGCTCCCCCCTTGCCATCCCTCCTCCTGACACAGAATGCCACCTCTCTACATCCGGCAGCAGCAGCGCAGGATGCATTTGTCCTTCCCCTGAGCCGGCTGCCCGCAGGCTGCCAGCGGGGCAAGGATGAGATGTCAAAGCATGCGAGACCCTGCTGGGGGAACTCGGGGCAGCTCCGGCTCGGAGGGGCTCCGAGCCCCCAGACCTACTTACTGATCAGCTCTGCCGACTTCTTGCACGCGTCGAAATCTTCGGCGAGAGCCTTTTGCTCGGCCAGCTCCGTCCCTGAGTCCTCGGGCTTATCCTCCGCCCCCAGAGTGAACTCGCTCCCCGCCGATTTGTACAAGCCCGCGCACTGCCGCCGCTTGCTGTTGAACTTGTTAGGGTCCAGGATGTCGAGCACGGAGAAGGAGGTGGTTCTGTGCACCATGGGCAGCGCGGCCACTGCCCCCTCTTGTCCGGGGGTGTTGCTCTGGCTGTCCCCTTGCCTGTCCCGGCTGGCAGGGCAGTAGAGCGGCAGCTCGCCGCCGGCAGAGAGCCGCTGCTCCCCGCGGCTGTCCATCCCTTCCCCGTGGCAGCCGCGGGGCTCCCCGCCGATGCCGGCAGCGGGGGCTGTCACCGCCGGGATGGAGATGTCACCGACCTTGTCTCTGCTCACATTCATGACTCTTTGCAGAGCCCTTCTCGGTTGCAACTTCTCCCCCCTGCCCTCCCCTCTTGCTTTCCCCCTCCTTCCTCCGGCGAAGTTGATCTGGAAACTCCTCCCCGGCTCCGCTCCGGCTCAGGACGAGCCGCTGCCTTCAGCTCCCCGGGGCTGCGCTGGGTCCAGCCGCCGGGAGCCTCCGGGGGAGGCAGGGAGTCACAAGGTGATGCTCGGCACAGAGCCTCCACTCAGCTGCTCCTTCTTCCTTCTCATCATCCTCGCCAGGCTGCCAGGCGCTCCTGCCCCCCCTCCCTTCTCTCTCTCTCGCTCACACACACAGAGGCAAGGCTGTATCTTATTTATGCATTCATATTTAGCACTGGATTGTAATTGGCTACAAATTAATCCCTTGCCCATAATAGTCTGTAATCTTCATCACTGGAAGAGAGACACGTTGGAAGTGTGTGCCGGGGGGAGGGGGGCAGAGAGGGAGAGAGCGAATGAAGGATGGTGTTGGCTGTGATATACTTGGCTGTCAGCTCTGTTTCAGCACACCTCCACTCATCTGGAAAGCATCTAAATAGCCTTATTTGGAGAAGTGGGAGGAGATGACGCTTTCTTTTAAATAATTGCGGGATCAATATAAAGAAGATATTATACACAGAAAAGGGGAACTTAAGGTCTTCCATCCCTAATAGTGGAGTTAGATGATCAAAAGGGGACTCTGTGTGTGTGTGTGTGTGTGTGTGGGCTCAGAGGTGTCAGCCCCCAGCACCTGTTTCCCTTCCCTGCTGGGTTTATTAAATTAGAACAAAAGGAGAAAATTATGGACGGAGGTTTAGCGGTTGGAGTGAAGCTTGTGTCCGCGGACACTCACACGCTTCTTTCTCCTCCTTAGCTAATTAATTAAAATTAAATCTCAAATGTAAGTGCCAGGAAAGTGCCAGAAGAAAATTAATGCGTTTAAACGGCACAAGACAAAACACGACGATAAATAAATCCTGAGTAACTGGGAGAAAAGGTCTATTCCCTTGCATGCGAGGAGTAAAGGTATAACCAGACCTAAGTTCCACTTTGGAAAAATACTTTCTTATTAAATACGGTTTTAATTGTAGAAAATTAAGACGTAGGAATAAAATTGTCAGTGAATTATACAGCATGTTTTCCCATCCCCTACCTAATTTCCTTCCCTCTCGTGTATAGTTGTGTGTTCTTTGATCGTATCAATTTCATTCTTGTTTTGGACGCTCCAGTCGCTACTCAGTTTGAATTAGCTGCCAGGAAAAAAAAAAGGGGGGGGGGGCGGTAGGAAAATAGAGAAAGCATAAAAGGAAAATTAGATTTTTTTTTGTCTTTGAGGCTGGTGACACATACAAGGACAGGTCCTTTGCAATTACCGCGGGCAATGATCCTTTAGAAAGCAGAAATTAAAAGTTGGGAGAAATAATGGGTAAAACAATCAGCTTGTAATTTTGGTAGGTCTTGGACATGATTAGTCCATCAGCGGGCTGGGCCCAGGGGAGTCCCGCTGAGCAGGAGCCCACAACAGCCCCCGCTCATATATTATACACCAGCCCTTAGATTTTAATCAGACACCACAACAGTGTCCTTTCTCTTTTATGACTTTATTATGCTTTATCTTTAAATTATAAATCACCTCCTGGGTTGAAATGGTATGTATAATCTCTGATCATGTGGAGGTAATTACCTCTCCCCCTTGTCCTGACCTCACCGACGGGGCTGCCACGAACACACAGCGAGAGTGAAGTTTTAATCTGCGTGTGCACACACTCAGGGGTTTGTTGGTTTGTTTGTTTGTTAACAGCTCCTCTTTCCTTCCTCCTCCTCCTCCTCCGGCCGTGCCTCTGGTCCCATCTTTTCATTCGGATAAATTTCCCTCACATCACTCCTGACCACAGCGCTGGGATATTATTTATGAAAAAATAGATGGTGGTTTAGGTAGATGCCAGTGACTCGGCTGTATCAGATTCGCTGTCGTATTCGACTGTATTTGTACCTCTTTTTATTTATTTTTTTTTTTTTTTTCTTTTCTTTTGTGGGGGGAGGGGGTAGGGGGAAGCGAGTGCGGTTATTTGGGAGTAGCAGTGGTAGGAATATTTTTTATTCCCTGGGTCAGTGCCTCTTAGGAAAAAAAAATAAAATAAAATAAATATTCTAATTGTGATTGACTCCTGTGCCAGGGCAGGGACCGTTCCCAGGCGTGCGGAACCCAGAGCGGCGATATCAGCACAAATTCACGGATCAGCGCTGGGTGTTGGGAACAGAAGGACCCAAATCCCTAAGGAGCACCCCCGAACAGAGCTCTCAGGTGCCACCGGACACCGACAGACACCCCCGCATCACCGGGAGCCGAGGGGTGCTGGGCAGGCACTGCCGGGCCCCGTCCCGCAGGGACCCCCAGCCCGCACGGCGCTTTTGTTTGTTGGAGGTTTAAAGCGAGTGTTATAAAGATGTTCTATTGCTCCTAATCACAATTGATTGTCAATTAGAGCCTCATTTGTGCAATCTCCATCCATCTGCCATCTCTGGTTATCTGTTCACCAGAAAGTTAGCGCTGATTATGGGGCCCTAGATGAGTTGTGACATGTAATATCTCACCAGTGGTCGGGCCGGGTGACCGGTCCCGTCTTCCTCTCTTTCCATTTTCCTTGCAGGGTGGACGAGCAACAGCCTCCCCTGACTCACTGCTCCGAGCGCCGCTGTCCTGGGGGACCAGCTGAGAGGGTGCTGGGGGTGAGGGGCTGCAGGGCACCCCCACACAGGCGGCATCGGCGCCCTGCAGAGCCACGTCCCCGTATTTTGGGCCCGGATCCCTTGCCCTGCTGAGGAAAGCTCCCACGGAAACGTTTTCTTCTCCTAAATAAATGGGGAATCACACGGAACACCCTCGCGTTTTTACGAGCCTCCCCGCCGCAGCGATGGTTATCTCTGGAGTTAGGCTGAATTATACCTGCGGGGAGGTGATATTTCCTGAGCCTGAAGGCACCGCTGGCCACAGCATCTCCCGGGAGCCTCCATCCCCTCGGCCACGCCGAGCCCCGGGCGCTCCCGGGGAGTCGCGTTTGAGGACGGGAGCCGATGGATGTCTCGGTTCTGGC